TTTTGTACAATTAGTTTGGTTAAGTTAGATTTAGGTTAGGTAAGGTATAGGTTAATGTATTTTAGCTAACTTTTAATATAGAATAATTAAGTCAGTATGATTAAGTTAGGAAAGGTTAGAAATGTAAAGTTTAAAGATAGTATAGGATGGGTTAGGTTAGGTTTAGCTTAGGTTGAATATGGGTTAGGTTGGCTTAGGTTTTACTTTTAGAATAAAATGGTTCAGTTACATTCGTTTGGTTAGGAAATGTTAAAAATGTAAAATTAGGGTTGAATCGTTGGGTTAAGTTAGGTTAGATAAAGGTTAGATTAATTTGGGGTACGTTTAGGATAGAATGATTTGGTTAGAATTGTAAGGTTAGAAAAGGTTAGAAGTGTTAAAATAGTGTTGAATCAATTGTTAGGTTAGGTATAGTTTGGGTTAGGCTAGGTTTAAGTTAGGTTAGATATGGGTTAGGTTAGGTTACGCATAAGTTAGGATGGTTAGGTTAGGTTAGAAATGTAAGGTTAGATTAAATTAGAATCATACGGTTATATTAAAATTGTTACTTTAGGTAGAATCGTTATCTTAGTTTAAGTTATGTTATAGAGGTTGGGTTAGGTTAGGTTTAGGTTAGGTTAGATATGGGTTAGATTATATATATATTTTTTTGTGATGCATTCAATGATAATAAGTCAAATATGAGACTTCGTGAACACAATTTTAGAAATATGAGAAATGATAATATATACATATAAAAGTTCGTATTATCTTTTTCTCGTTTTGTGTTGAGCCTGCACTATGGATAGTAGAGATATACATGAAAATTAAAAATAGTATTTATTTTACCACAATATCACTCAGGTAGAAATAAGTTAAGTTAAAATTGTTAGGTTAGGTTAGGTTATAATCATAAGGATAGGTTAGGTTAGGTTACATTTAGATTAGATAGTTTAGATTAGGTGGTGGTTAAATTAGGTTTAGGTTAGGTTAGGTTTGGGCTAGAAAAGTTGTTAGGTTAGGTTATATTGATGTTAGGTAGGTTTGGTTGCTTAGGTTAGATTACGGTTAAATAAGTTGATTTAGTTAGTTTAGGTTTATTTTGGGTTAGGTAATGTTTAGATTGTGCTAGGTTAGGTGTAGGTTTAGGTTAGGTTAGGTCACGTTTAGGTTAGGTAAGGTATAGGTTAAGGTAATTTAGGTTACTTTTAGTTTATAACAATTAAGTTAGAATGGATAAGTTACGAAAGGTTAGAAATGTTAAGTTACAGTAGAATCACCATTTTAATTTATTTATAGGATGGGTTAGGTTAGGTTTAACTTAGGTTATATGTGGGTTAGGTTGGCTAAGGCCACCTTTAGAATGAAATGGTTCAATTACATTCGTTAGATTAGAAAATGTTAGAAATGTAAAGTTAGGGTAGAATCATTATTTTAGTTTATGTTATGTTAAATAGGTTGGGTTAGGTTAGGTTTAGGTTAGGTTATATATGGGTTAGCTTAATTTGGGGTACGTTTAGGATAGAATAATTAGATTAGAATCGTAAGTCTAGAAAAGGTTAGAAGTATTAAAATAGTGCTGAATCATGGCTAGGTTAGGTTAAGTTACGCTTAGGTTAGGATGGCTAGGTTAGGTTAGAAATGTAAGGCTTGATTAAGTTAGAATCATACGGTTAGAGTAAAATTTTTCCTTTAGGTAGAATCGTTATCTTAGTTTAGGTTATGTTATGTAGGTTGGGTTAGGTTAGGTCAGGTCACATTTAGGTTAGGTATGGTATAGGTTAAGGTAGATTAGGTTACTTTTAGTTTATAGTAATTAAGTTAGAATGAATAAGTTACGAGAGGTTAGAAATGTTAAGTTAGGGTAGAATCATCCTTTTAATTTAGGTATAAGATGGGTTAGGTTAGGTTTAGCTTAGGTTAAATATGGGTTAGGTTGGCTTAGGCCACCTTTAGAATGAAATGGTTCAATTACTATCGTTAGGTTAGGAAATGTTACAAATGTAAAGAATCGTTATTTTAGTTTCTGTTATGTTATATAGGTTGGGTTAGGTTAGGTTTAGGTTAAGTTAGATTAATTTTGGGTACGTTTAGGATATAATGATTAGGTTAGGATCGCATGTTTAGAGAAGGTTAGAAATGATAAATTTATCCTCTGGGCTAGTACAGTGGTAACGTGTCGGCCTCTCATCCGAGGGGTCGGCGGTTCGCGCCCCGCCCAGGCGCGAGAAGTTACAATTGTCGCCTGGAGGTTACTGCTGTGGCTGGGCACCACAGTGGGTAAGGACTAAGCTCATCTGCGCGGCTAAGTCATCTATATTTGTGTTTTATTTGCTTTACTTTCGCTTTGATTTGTTTTAGTGTGTTTTAATGGTCTTATTTTACATACTGTTTTAAACGGACCTTCGTTTGAAAAGAGATCACCACCAACAATGATTTCTTAAAGAAACTTTTAACCTTTTATTCATCTTGCTTATCATTTCATCTTAACTTTATTATGAATATTTTACATTTCATATTTTTACCTTTTTACACTGAACATTTTAGGAGCTTATTTTGCTATGTACACGATGTTTTTTTTTTGTTTTTTTTTTTACTATTCTAT